TAGAGACCCAGTCTCCTTGCATCGGAGTAGATTTTGTTAATTTTATATATTTTTGTCCATGTCATCCAAGACTTAGGTTCATTTACATTCCACATAGACAAAACTAGACATAAAGCATTGCAGATGCTCTTAGGTACCCCACTTGCAAATTAGCTGTGAACTGCGGCATGACATTAGGACTGTAACCAAATCGAAATGCTCGACTTGAGTTTTAAGTTTGACTGAACTCAAGTTGAGTTCGAGCGGCTCGAGCACAAACTCGAATTGAGCTCGAGTCTATATTTTGCATTGTCCAACGGCTCGAGATATAGGTTGAATTACTAAATACTCCTCGTACAATATAGGTGTTTAATGGTAATTTTATTTTTCACTTAAAAATTTTTTAGTCGAACTCGAGCCGACTTGAGCATTTTGATTTCGAGTCGAGGTCGAGCAGCTTAAAAAAAATCAATCCTGTTCGATAAGACCAATGCTCGACTAGGCTCGTTTATTTTGCAACCCAAGGCATGTAAAATAACTTGACTAGTGTTTTGTGACCCAAACAAGCCCGACAATCAACACCGGACCAGTGTTCTAAAAGTCGCTAGGCGCTCGACTAGCGCCTAGGCGGGGCTAGGCGGCGCCTAGTCGGGGCCTAGAAATCAATATTAGATACCTTATTTTTTTTATTTAATTTAACTACCTACAAAATAAAATTATCTCAACTTATAATAAATCGACACACCTAAGTCCAAATAATAAAATTAATATATTTTAAAGAAAACATGAGAACAAACTACAAAGTAATGTAATTAGTATTTAAAAAAAAAATGAAAAATTACCGCAGAGCCCCCTAGGAGTGCCTAGGTCCGCCTATCCCTGCCTAGGCGCCGCGTAACCGCCTAGCCGCGAGCCGCCAAGTCCGCCTAGGGCCGCCGAGCCGCCTGACCGATTTTTTCTGTCGATTTCTGCAAATCGGAAGTGCCCGGGCACTGCTTAACACCTAGGGCCGCCTAGACCGATTTTTAGAACAATGCATAGGACCCAAGGATGAACTAGTTTGGGTGGGTTTTTAGACAAAATAGTAAGGAATCCGAACGATCATTTGTATGGACGACACCATAAGCTTAGCCATCCGAATTCAATTGACTAGCAAAAGCGGGTGAAAGTAAAACCATGTATATATATAACTTCTTATTTTTTAAAAATAAAATTATGCATAACATACATTTATTTTTATTATTTTATGCATTGTATATAAGGTAAAAATATTATAAATATAATTTAAAATTTGATTAAATCCGTTACCTAATTCAACAATTGACTCAATGACCTGACGGCTAGATCGACGACTCAGAGTCCAACCAGGGTCAATCACCGGTCGTTTGTTCATATGAATTATGAAACATCCATCCAACAAAATATATCTAAATGGATACATTTCGAGCTACTATTTATGATTGATAGATCCATTTAATCTAGATATATAAAAACCAGACATAATTTTGCATAAAATTATTACACACAAAATTGCAAAATACCAGACAGATGATGGATCGCCCACGTTACCGTTGAAATATTAAGGTATATATCATTATAAGATAAGCAGAACTACTTACAGAAAAGATGTTCATGCAAATCGTGTCCCATATTGCAAGGAAATTTTGGGAATGTACTCTGCAACAAACTGTAAATCACACTAACACAATTTGTCAACCTGCTGATATTTTAGAGCCAAATAAGCCCATACAAATGCTGCAAACTTTGAATCGACGAAGCTTCAATACAGCACGACAAGCGACAAACAGACAATTGTGTTAATTCTCTGATAATCAT